TTTCATTCTTAAATTAAAATATTTATTATTTAAATATTTTATTATAATATTAATAAATTGTTATTTAAATTTAAATATGATTATTCATTTTATTTTACAGAATATTAATAATTTATAATTAAAAATTAATATTAATATTTTATTTTACTCTTCATTTTTAAATATTTAAAATTATAAAAAATTTATAATTAAACTTATAATTAATTTTTAAAATATAAAATATTAAATTTTTTATAATTTATAATTAAAATCTAAAACCTTTTTATTTTAAATTCTTTTTAATTTTTTCTTTTAATTTTTAAATTCATTTTAATTTAATGAAAAAAAGGAGAGAGTCAATTGGATAGAGAAATAAAGAAATTATAAAAAATGAATAAATTACATTTTATATAGTATAATAATTCTTAAAATTAATAAAAGGCAGTTTTATCTATTAATTTTCTTTTTACTCTGTTCCTTACCTCCTTGGAATAACCAACACCATGGTGGCTTTAATATTGACTATTCCCCATCTCCACCTTAGTGGTGTTCCAAGGAATGGTCATTACTTTTAACCAAAGAAATTGTTAAAATGACTATTCCAGCCCCAACCAAACCATGCTGTAAAGGTAAAAGCTAAGAAATATATATATATATATATGTATATATATAAGTAAGATAAAAAAAAATTGAGAAGGTTAATTAAGAGATGAATTGACCTAAATTGAAAGATCTTTTTAAATTAGACAAAAAAAGAAAGATAAGTATGTGAGTTGTATTAAATTTTTTTGCTTGATGTCTTGTTAATTGTTTTTGTTTTCGAAAGTAAAAAAAAAAATGCATATCACTACAAAATTAAATACATATTTTTTAAGAATTATATGTTAAATATGTGATTTTTTTCATGACAAATTATATGATTCTACTTCTACATAAACTAATTATATTTTATTATTTGTCCATTACTTAATCCATTATGGTTTTTTTGTTTACCTTTTAATTTTGTTTTATAACAATTATTTTAAAATTAAAAAAAAAAGTAATAAAAATATCAATTAAACAAGACATAATTTAATTAATTAAGTATTATGCAAACACAAATGTATCATCCTTAGCTCTTTCAAGTCTAGACTTTAATCAGATTTGAAGTTTATGTCACCTAAGGTAAATTTTAAATTCTCCACTTGGTTATTAAAGTTGGGATTGGGAATGGTTCATAGGGGTTAAGGCCACAAGTCTCATCATTATCAAAAAATTTGATTTGAAGATTTTGATACAATATAAGAGAAGAATCAAAGCTTCTTATCCTGTCTAGGATAAACCTAACCTTTACGATTCCACTTTGGATACACTCAATTAGGGTTCTAAAGTAAGTAGCATATCTCTCTTTTGCTTAATGATTCGTGAAATTATGAGTTGTTGGGTCACGTGTTGTCCTCTATACATCTACTTAGTAGACATGCAAATTATTGCATTGTAACTTTAGAAATAAAATCAATAACAACTTAGAAGAGTCTATCTTTTCCTTTTACATCAACACTATTTATCATTAGACATGTAAATTGATATTCTATATGCATGTTACTTTAAAGCAAGCACAACATGAAATCTACATTGACTATAAAACATTTTTGTTCAATTTTTCAAAAAGAAAATCACACAATCAGAATTGTTTTATTTTTCCTATGAAGGATGGGTTTTTTTTTATAATTAATTTAATGGATAACAACAAACCCAAAAATTTCCCTTCTAAAACATGCCTGAAAATAGGCCTAATTTAGGTAGGCAGGCTTCCAGTAGCCCAAGTCTTATGGGCTAGTAAAAACTCAGAAATTGGAAGGAGCAATGGAATTGGAACGTGCCCAAAGGACTCTTCGACCATTTGTCCAATGGCGCATTGTAATATGTGTTATAAAACCAAAAAAAATTCCCTCATTAGTAAACTTGGCTTTTGAAAGATTAACCCAAATAAGACCATAAAACCTTTAAAATGAATTGTAAAACCTATTGATGTTTATTGTATTTGTCCTAAGTATTATATACTTATACTTGTGCAAGGTATCCACCAATAACTCTTGGAGTGCGAAAGTTGGTGGACAACTCTAGTTGCTGCTCCGTAGATGAGAAGGATAAAGCATATTTTTAGAGGTTCTTAAAGTCAGCATCCGTAAATCGATCTCGAAATTTATATTAATTGGTGTTGCAGTAAATAATCCGAAGCCTATGGTTTGCATTAGGAAGAGAAGTGTGATAAACAATGAAGTTATAATAACCTAATGACTAATGACGTGGCATTGGTTAGCAAGAGAAATTATCATTGCATTAGTAAAAATGGGCGAGGATTTGTGTTGCAGAAAATAGTTAGTGAAATCAGATATAAGTAGGTTTATAAAAGAGTTAATCATTTTGGGAAATAGAAGTTTGTGATTAGCAACTTCTATTGTTGGAAAATGACAGATGATCGGGACATCAAGAGTTAGATTAATAAATACTACAAGCTAGTTGATAATATGAAGGTTAAAAAAGTCAACTTGCAAGAAGAGTTCGTTGTTGGGTTGTTAATTGAGAAGTTGTCAGAATCCTTGAATGGATACAAGCAACAACTGAAGCACAAGGAAAAGCAATTGTCACTTGTAGACTTGATTGTGCACATCATCATCGAAGACACAACCCGGAAGGAGATTAAGGCCTCCAACACTAAAGAAGTCGCAACTAAAGCCAATCTAGTACTTGGCAGAACCCAACATTAACTAAGGTACCCTCATAAACTTGATCATAAACCCAAAGCTCTTTATCCCACCTTCAAAAAAAAGGTAGTTGTTTTGTTTGTGGAAAGTCAGGGCATCATTCAACACAATGCAGGAAAAGAGCGAGGGGTTTTTTTCAAAATCAAAATAGTGATTATTTTGATACTTTTGCTCCAGTAACAAGAATTTCATCCATTCATGTTTTATTTGTTTTAGTTTCAATTTATAAACTTGCTGTTTATTAAATGGATGTTAAAATCACTTTTTTAAATGGTGATTTAGAAGAAGAAATTTATATGGCACCACCCAAGGGATGTGTTCTTCCTAGTTAAGAAAACAAAGTTTGTAAATTGATTAAATAATTATATAGCTTGAAACAAGCACCAAAACAATGGCATGAGAAATTTGATCAAGTTCTTATTAGTAATAGATTTTTTACCATTGGAGTTGATAAATGTGTGTACACAAAAACTATTGATAGTGAATATGTGATTATCAGCCTATATGTTGATGATATACTTATTTTTAGTACATGTATTGATGCGGTCAATAAAACAAAATGTTTCTTGGCTTTTAAATTTGATGTGAAAGATCTAAGAGAAGCTAATGTTATTTTGGGTATTAAAATCATAAGATGTGACAGTGGCTTAATGCTAACACTAGAGTATTATGTTGAAAGGCTACTTAAAAGTTGGGACATTTTGATGTCATATCTATGAGTACTCCTTGTGATAGTAATATCCAATTAAAAAAAAAAAAGGTGATAATGTAGCTCCATCTGAATATGTATAGATTATTGAGAATTTGATGCATTTGATAAATTATACTCAACCTGTATCCATTTGAGAATCTGAGTATATATACACAAAGTCCCAATCAAGATCATTGGATTATCTTGAGTAGAGTGATTAAATATTTGAAAGGTACCATAAATTATGATATTTTATATAATGGATTTCTAGCTATATTAGAAGGATATAGTGATGTTAATTGGATCTCATATTCAAATGAGACAAAATCCACAAGTCGTTATATATTTACCCCTGGTGGGGGTGCAATAACTTAGAAATCAACCAAACAAATAATAATTGTTAAATCTACAATGAAGTCAGAATTTGTAGCTTTAGAATTGACTCGCAATGAGGCTGAATGATTAAAAAACCTCTTAGTAGATTTTTCGTTAGGAATGAAACCAACACCTTCTATGTTTATGCATTGTGATTGCCAAGCAACAATAACCATTGTAAAGAATAAAACTTTCAATGATAAAAATAGACACATTTATTTGAGATATAATGTAGTAAAGCAGCTGCTTGGAGTTGAAATTATATCCATGAATTATGTGAAGTCAGAGCTGAATTTGGCTAACCCCTTGACTAAACTCTTGGGAAGAAAATTAATTAATGCTACATTTAGGGGAATGGGATTTAAGCCAATTGAGGAAGTCAACAAATAATGGTAACCCAACCTATGTGATTGGAGATCCCATGAATTAGATTTATATAGGTAATAACAAATTATTTATTTATAAATTAATGTATTGTTAAAATTATTATCCTTTTTATGATGTGTGAATAGTATAAAACTACAATACAAGAGAAGTTGAGTTAAAATCTTAATGAATTTTATATCCTTTATAGATAGTGTATTAAACTACAGTATACACTTGACTGTGTATACATGCTAACCATATTTTTCTCGACTCTCTGATTTGTTGCTATGTTAACCTCATTTTGTGCAATGTTCACTTCATTGTTTGCCTATAAATATAGTCTCCCCACCTCATTCACAATGCATACCAAGCCTTTCATCTCCTTTTTTTTTGTTCTCTGTACATTTTCTCTGCCTTTTTTCCTTTTGTACTATCCCTTACTAGTTTGTGTAAATTATAAGAAATGGTCTGTTGAATCCTAAAGGATAATCGTTATAGTTTTTTAACACAAAGTCTTATACTCCGAAAAGGCCAAAATTATCTTTAATGATAGTGATACCACGCCTCAGACTTCTTGCTATCTTTACTTGTTATATTTAATTTTCATTTGTTTTCCAAATTTTTTTTTTCTAACACTTAAATCCACGCTTGTCATACATTCGTTTCAAGCAGCAAACTATTTGATTTGCTTTGGTAATTAGGAAATCTTACATGCTCAATTATTTTATATTCTTTTCCTTATTTATTAATTCTCCTTTAATGAGGATATTAACATTACCGCATAATTGGAAATCCTTCTCTATAAATACCCTATACTTATAGTGATGAGCGTGTGTCTTCCGCAAGCATATCTTGTTTTCTTATTTGTTTTTTTATATCTTTTTGCCTTTGTATTCATCCTCTTTGATTTCTCTCCAACAATGGCTGCCCTTGGAACTTGTGAGCGCCCATCACTTAGCAACCTAGAAATGTCCATTCATGTGACTAATGATGCTCAGAAAAACCAAATCCAAGTTCCAACCGCTGAGGATGAGTTTGACTACTCTCAGAGGGCACAGTGGCTTCGAGCTGCTGTGCTAGGAGCAAATGATGGGCTAGTTTCTGTTGCATCATTAATGATGGGTGTTGGAGCTGTTAAGGATGACATCAAAGCCATGCTGGTTGCTGGTTTTGCAGGCTTGGTTGCTGGAGCTTGTAGCATGGCAATAGGAGAATTCATCTCTGTATACACTCAAAGAGACATAGAGGTAGCCCAAATGAAAAGGGAGAGAGGGAAGCGGGAAGGTAGTGGAGACTATGAGGAAGAGACTGAGAGGAAGAAGCTGCCTAATCCTGGCCAGGCTGCTATAGCATCAGCCTTAGCCTTCTCGATTGGTGCAGTGGTGCCGCTGCTAGCAGCTGCTTTCATAAGGCAGCCGAAGGTGAGGCTGGCGGTGGTAGCTGCAGTGGCTAGCTTGGCCCTGGCGGTGTTTGGTGCGACAGGAGCTGTGATTGGGAGGACTCCTGTGGCGAGGTCCAGTTTCAGGGTGCTGACCGGAGGGTGGATGGCTATGGCTATTACTTTTGGCCTAACCAAGTTGGTTGGCACTACTGGACTGTGATGTGCTTGCCTAATGCTGCTTGATTCCTAGTTCCTACCATCAAACATGAAAACTGTTAATTGCAATAAGCCTAGTAATTTGGGGTGAAATTCAGTGTAAAATTTACCCCTGGTGCAATGCTAAATAAACACAAGTTAATGGAAGCTACTAATCAGAAGTGATAGAATTTGTACTGCACAAGCCTAATGCCAATAAAAGCCTCTATCAATTAGATAAAGACTTTGAATCGCATGGAGACTTAATGCTGCTAAAATCGTCTTTCAAAATAAAAAAAAAAATCGTACATCTTCCATTTCTAGCGTTCGTGCCATGCATGTTTCAATCAAAGAGCAAAGTGAATGTATTTTTCTAAATTATTAAACTTATTTCTAAGTTTATCATATTTCATCTTTGCATTTTCAGATTCAATTTTGAAGTAGTTATGGATGAAACTGGTTCCAATTCTAACAATAATCAAAGCATTATGAAGAGACAAAAAAATGTCTCCATTTTCTTTTCAAGTAATTAACTAAGTCTTTATATTAATTTATTACATTATTTAATCAACAAAGTACTAAGTAACTAATTACGTAACAATTTGTATGCAATTAATTAATTAATTAATTTAGTAACTAACATTGTGCTAAGAAGCTAAGTAACAATTCATATTTGATTTTTCTTATTTTTCTTTCTCTTTTGACAATTTTGGTTATAGATTCAACTTTAAAGTAGTTATAGGTAAAACTGATTCCAATTCTAACAATAATCAAAGCACAATAAAGATGGTACAAAATGTGTCTATTTTCTTTTTATTTCATCGTTGCATGTAAGCATAGGAGAGAAACATTGGGTATGTGTAGTAATGTAATTTTCTTCTAAATTTTATGTTACTTTCTTTTTCATCAATGATAAGTGCTTATCCTTCTTTACCTTTTTTTTTATTAAATTATACAATTAATCCTTATACTTTAGAAAAAATATGGCTTTAGTTTTTATATAATAATTTGTGCAAATTAATTTTTTGTATTTTTTCAATTTATTAATTTCAATCTAAACCCTAACGCAGTTAAATTAAATCTTCATAATTTTTGCAAATTTTACTCAATTTTTTCTTTTCCACTCGAATTGACTAATTACAGAACAGAAATTTAGAAAGGAAAAAAAGGGATGTTTTAGTGTTCTAACAAGTGTTCATAAGGTTTCTTTCAATTTTTTTCCATATGTTTTTGAGAAGTCAATTCATGAATTGAAAGGAGTAGGGTGGGTGTTTTGTTCATTGGTAGCCATGTGAGCAAATGCCTCGTCAGCATATTTAACGATGAAATTTAACGGTATCATGTTAGGGTTTGAATTGAAATTGATAAATTGAAAAAGTACAAAGAATATATTCACATTTTTATAGAATATAAAGACTAATTGCATAATTTAACTTTTTTTTCCTCATGTCTAGCAAAGATATTTTGAGTTTGAAAGCAATTTCCTTCCATATTTTTCTTCAATTATAAGAAGTTTTGGTACTATAATTTCCTTACAATTTTGGTTCTACAATTGAATATGAATGCTACGCATGTGATAGTAAATATTCACTCTCTCTCTCTACATATATATACACCCATATATATATCAAAAGGAAAAATAATCCTTTTAGTAACTTTTTATTTCATAAAACCCATAAATAAAGTCCTACCTACGTACAACTCATAGAGGCACTCCTCTAGACCTATTCCTTTCTTCTTTCTTGCATATATATTTAATTTACTAAATGTAAGGTGTCATAGGCCGGACTCGACTCAATTGATTAGGGGTGAGTAATTTTTTATTAAAATCGAATTAATCAAATTAATCCAATATATTCAGTTAAAATGGTTTGGTTAATTCAATTTTTTGATAAATTAAAATTTAAGTGTAGTTAAATTAATTTATTTGATCGATTTCGATTTTGAAGAATTTATTTTTGATCAATCAAATAAACCAGTTTAAGATTATAAGCATACAAGTAAGTATCGTCCATATTTGGTAATCCTTTAAGGTTCACCAATCCAACCCAACGATGTCTATTATACATAATTAAGCCCAAACAGTATAAGGTCTTATTTTCTATTGAAGCTGCTATCTTGTTGGAACTTTTTAATATTTCTAGCCCGTCATTGGAAGTTGGAACAATTTCTTTGATTATCTCTGTTGAAACATTTTAATATTCTTAATCGTGTTTGTTGGGAACATTTTGATGTTATTAAGCTTATGATGTTATTCAAATTTCATAAGTTAATTTTATTTATTTTGTAATAAACATAAAAAAAATGAAACTAAGAAAATTGAGCTTGAGTGCAGTACGATCTATGAATCTAAAAATTTAAATTAATTTAATTATCGGCCAAACTAATCGATCTAATCTGATTAATCAATGAATCAATTAATACTTTGTTTAAAGAAAATTATGAAGAAAGTATATCAAGCAAAAGGAGAAAAAAAGGGGGACCAGTGGTTAAAAAAAGAATACCACTTACTCCACGGAAACCACAAGTTGCCTTAACTTGAAGGCCAGTAGGCCAAAAATGAACAAATAGTCCTGTACAAAAGATATAGCTGCATTCCAATCAAAAGAAGTAAAAATACTTACATGCAACTTACGGACAGCCACAACAAGAAAAATGTAGGTAAAAATTGATCACAAAATACAATGGACCTCCTCAGGAAGCAGAAACAAGACCAAGCCAAAGGGGGCATTAGGCATTGTCATTGATCCAGAGAAAGTTTTGAGTGAGTGACACACCTTTAGCTAGCCAGTCAGCTTTGTCATTAGCAGATCTAGGAATCTGCATGATTTTCCAGCAACCGACTTGAGAGTCTTGAGGATTTGCATGATTAATGGTCTAAGCTTCCATAGAATTGTTGGTCTCAAAGGAGTGCTAGAGGGGAGATGAATAGCACTAAAAATATTTTTTGAAGGAAGTTCTTAAGTTTGAAAATCTTTTGAAAAATTTTCAGATTTTGAGTAGGAGAGTTTAAGACTAGTTGAGGTTAAAATGCACCAAGAGAGAGTAAAGAAAAGTAGACAAAACATAAGTATTTACAGTGGTTTAGTTCCTTTGACCTACATCCACTACCTTCATCTCTTAACCAAGGATTTTCAACCCAACTTCATTAAACCAGTGGAATTAACAACTTCCGCAAAACTTTTACAAGGTGAGCTTTTAATCTAAGGTCTAAACGCTTACAATAATCTCTTAGAGTGTTTCGCACACTCTAATTAATCAAAAATTAAGAAAAAGATGAAGTGCAATGATCACTTAGCTGGTCTAATGTGTACAAGCTCATACTCAAACAAGTTTACAAAGAGTACGAGTAAAATACACTTGCAAAGAAAAGGTTTTTAGGATTTCTAAGCTCAAAATCACTCTTAATAGTTTCTCTACCATTTTTAACCGTTTGATACCCTTTAAATACTTAGATGATAGATTCTAGTCGTTAGAAACAATTTTGGGATAGAACTAACCGTTATTTTATCTTCTAGCAGTTAAATTCAAATCTGCTGACAATGGCTCTTTAATCAGTTAAAGTGAGCTTTAATCAATTAAAGCATTTCTATCTAGTAGTCTACTTCACTATGTTTAAAGGGTATCAAATAGTCAGAAATGGAAGAGAAACTATCAAGAGTGATTTTAAGCTTAGAAATCCTAAAAACATTTTCTTTTCAAGTGTATTTTACTGTTACTCTTTGTAAACTTGTTTGAGTTTAAGCTTGTACACATTAGACCAACTAAGTGATCATTGCACTTCATCTTTTTCGTTATTTTTGATTAATTTGAGTGTGTCAGACACTCTAAGCATATACCTCTGATTTACCATTTTTCGACCAACTTTTCAACTTATGAACACTGGTTTTCATCTAAGTTTGCACCCTTGCCCAAGCACCTTTGGACCACCTTTTCAACAAGCTCCTCGAGCCCAATTGTTCACACCAACATCAACCACCCCTACTCTTAGCTGAGGTGTCATCCAAAAACAATCCAAAAAGAAACTACATAGACAGTTGGATCCCATTCTCATTTCTTATGAAGAACTTTTTCACCAATTGGTTCAAGATCACCTTGTTGCTGCTATGCCAATGGAACTCTTGAAACCTCCATATCCAAAGTGGTACAACCCAAATGCAAAATGCGATTATCATGGTGGAGTTACGAGACATTCCATTGAAGATTGTACACTTTCAAGCATAAGATGTAAACAATGATAAATGCAAAGTGATTTGATCCAGTGAAGATGGTCGGGCATGGTAAAAGAATGTCCAATTAGGTGTCTAGGTGATAAAAGAGTGGACTTTATAAGACTTTTTCCCTTTTGAGTAAAAGGTTTTAAGACTTTAAAACATTCAATGTTTTAAACATGTTAGTTTTTTAACTTCTTTTGAATTTTTTGAAAATGGATTTATGTTTGTGAACAATTATTAGAAAATGAATGTGTTCCTTGAATGATGCAAAGAATTGCCAGGGATTGAATCGAATGTATCAATGATTGACTTTTCAAATTTTGTTTAAGCATATTCTAAATTTTTTTTCATAATAACAAGGGGGATTTCTCAAAAAGAAAATTGAATGGAAAAAAGTTGGTTTGGAAAAATAAATGTGTTACACAATTTAGATTTTGGTGTAATCTCATTGTGCATAAAAACGGCTTTAAATCATTCATCATCCATTGACTCATCTTGTCATGCATTTAAGCATCCATTGATTTGGTCACATATGCATTCATCATTAATTCACTTTTTTTTTTGTAAATAGCACATTTGACACCGTAATATTCAATGAAAAGAGAGACAACAATGTTGTTGATTCCATAAAATAAAAGTTCTTTTTTCAAAGTTTTTATGAAGATGGAATATATTTGGAAAGATCTTTAGTAAAGTAGAATTTATCACTCAATCTAATTGGCTTCAATCTTGTGAAAGGATAAAAGCTCAAGAAAGTCCATTTACTGTTTATGTGATACATAGACTCAAGTTAGAATCATTGAAGAGGAGCAGTCAAAATGAATGGACAAGATGAAGAAACGTTAGGAAGAGATAAGGGAACAGTTGAAAAAGTTAATATAGATGATGATTGCTAGTAAAAGGGAAAGGTCTTTCGAAAAATCATGGAGTTCACAAAAACAGAGCCAATTGCCATTGCAAAAGCAAACTATGTCGATTTCGAGGTCAAATCCCTCCAACTCAATT